AACAAAGCCTACCATCAGTAACACACTAGGCCGCCAGGGACTCAAATCCTGCAGCGCCAGACGTGTCCCCCTGCTTAAGCCAGTACATGTCCAGGCCCGTCTGAAGTTTGCTAGAGTGCATTTGGATGATCCAGAAGAGGATTGGGAGAATGTCATATGGTCAGATGAAACCAAAATAGAACTTTTTGGTAAAAACTCAACTCGTCGTGTTTGGAGGACAAAGAATGCTGAGTTGCATCCAAAGAACACCATACCTACTGTGAAACATGGGCGTGGAAACATCATGCTTTGGGGGTGTTTTTCTGCAAAGGGACCAGGACGACTTATCCGTGTAAAGGAAAGAATGAATGGGGCCATGTATCGTGAGATTTTTAGTGAAAACCTCATTCCATCAGCAAGGGCATTGAAGATGAAATGTGGCTGGGTCTTTCAGCATGACAATGATCCCAAACACACCGCCCGAGCAACGAAGGAGTGGCTTCGTAAGAAGCATTTCAAGGTCCTGGAGTGGCCTAGCCAGTCTCCAGATCTCAACCCATAGAAAATCTTTGGAGGGAGTTGAAAGTCCGTGTTGCCCAGCGACAGCCCCAAAAACATCACTGCTCTAGAGGAGACCTGCATGGAGGAATGGGCCAAATACCAGCAACAGTGTGTGAAAACCTTGTGAAGACTTACAGAAAACGTTTGACCTGTGTCATTGCCAACAAAGGGTATATAACAAAGTATTGAGAAACTTTTGTTATTGACCAAATACTTATTTTCCACCATAATTTGCAAATAAATTCATTAAAAATCCTAAAATGTGATTTCCTGGATTTTTTTTTCTCATTTTGTCTGTCATAGTTGACGTGTACCTATGATGAAAATTACAGGCCTCTCTCATCTTTTTAAGTGGGAGAACTTGCACAATTGGTGGCTGACTAAATACTTTTTTTCCCCACTGTAACTCTGTGTTGTTGTTTTTATCGCACTGCTTTGCTTTATCTTGGCCAGGTCGCAGTTGTAAATGAGAACTTGTTCTCAACTGGTTTACCTGGTTAAATAAAGGTGAAATAAAAAAATAAATAAAAAACATCTCATTGATAATCAGTCTATAATTTTAATGGTAGGTTTATTTGAACAGTGAGAGACAGAATAACAACAAAAAAATCCAGAAAAACGCATGTCAAAAATGTTATAAATTGATTTGCATTTTAATGAGGGAAATAAGTATTTGACCCACTCTCAATCAGAAAGATTTCTGGCTTCCAGGTGTCTTTTATACAGGTAATGAGCTGAGATTAGGAGCACACTCTTAAAGGGAGTGCTCCTAATCTCAGCTTGTTACCTGTATAAAAGACACCTGTCCACAGAAGCAATCAATCAATCAGATTCCAAACTCTCCACCATGGCCAAGACTAAAGAGCTCTCCAAGGATGTCAGGTACAAGATTGTAGACCTACGCAAGGCTGGAATGGGCTACAAGATCATCGCCAAGCAGCTTGGTGAGAAGGTGACAATAGTTGGTGCAATTATTTGCAAATGGAAGAAACACTAAAGAACTGTCAATCTCCCTCGGCCTGGGGCTCCATGTAAGATCTCACCTCGTGAAGTTGCAATGATCATGAGAACGGTGAGGAATCAGCCCAGAACTACACGTGAGGATCTTGTCAATGATCTCAAGGCAGCTGGGACCATAGTCACCAAGAAAACAATTGGTAACACACTACGCCGTGAAGGACTGAAATCCTGCAGCGCCCGCAAGGTCCCCCTGCTCAAGAAAGCACATATACATGCCCGTCTGAAGTTTGCCAATGAACATCTGAATGATTCAGAGGAGAACTGGGTGAAAGTGTTGTGGTCAGATGAGACCAAAATGGAGCTCTTTGGCATCAACTCAACTCGCCGTGTTTGGAGGAGGAGGAATGCTGCCTATGACCCCAAGAACACCATCCCCACCATCAAACATGGAGGTGGAAACATTATGCTTTGGGGGTGTTTTTCTGCTGAGGGGACAGGACAACTTCACCGCATCAAAGGGACGATGGACGGGGCCATGTACCGTCAAATCTTGGGTGAGAACCTCCTTCAGCCAGGGCATTGAAAATGGGTCGTGGGTGGATATTCCAACATGACAATGACCCAAAACACACGGCCAAGGCAACAAAGGAGTGGCTCAAGAAGAAGCACATTAAGGTCCTGGAGTCTCCAGACCTTTAATCCCATAGAAAATCTGTGGAGGGAGCTGAAGGTTCGAGTTGCCAAACGTCAACCTCGAAACCTTAATGACTTGGAGAAGATCTGCAAAGAGGAGTGGGACAAAATCCCTCCTGAGACGTGTGTAAACCTGGTGGCCAACTACAAGAAACGTCTGACCTCTGTGATTGCCAACAAGGGTTTTGCCACCAAGTACTAAGTCATGTTTTGCAGAGGGGTAAAATACTTATTTCCCTCATTAAAATGCAAATCAATTTACAACATTTTTGACATGCGTTTTTCTGGATTTTTTTGTTGTTATTCTGTCTCTCACTCTTCAAATAAACCTACCATTAAAATCATAGACTGATCATTTCTTTGTCAGTGGGCAAACGTACAAAATCAGCAGGGGATCAAATACTTTTTTCCCTCACTGTATGTGAGAACGCTGTTCATTGACTACAGCTCAGCGTTCAACACCATAGTGCCCTCCAAGCTCATCACTAAGTTAAGGACCATAGGACTGAACACCTCCCTCTGCAACTGGATCCTGGACTTCCTGACTGGTCGCCCCCAGGTGATGAGGGTAGGCAACAACACATCCGCCACTCTGACTCTCAACACGGGGGCCCCTCAGGGGTGCATGCTTAGTACTCTCCTTGTACTCCCTGTTCACCCACGACTGCACACAACTCCAACACCATCATTACGTTTGCTGATGACACGACGGTGGTAGGCCTGATCACCGATGGCGATGAGACAGCTTATAGGGAGGAGGTCAGAGACCTGGCAGTGTGGTGCCAGAACAACAACCTTTCCCTCAACTTTAGCAAGACAAAGGAGCTGATCGTGGACTACAGGAAACGGAGGGCCGAGCACGCCCCCATTCACATCAACAGGGCTGAAGTGGAGAGGGTTGAGAGCTTCAAGTTCCTTGGTGTCCACATCACTAAGGATCTATCATGGCCCACACACATCAACAAGGTGAATTTGTCTCCCAGTGTCTGTTGGAAAGCAGACAAAACCAGGTTTTCCTCTAGGATTTTGCCTGTGCTTAGCTCTGTAGCCGATGACAAGCATACCCATAACATGATGCAGACACCACCATGCTTGAAAATATGAAGAGAGGTACTTAGTGATGTGTTCGATTTGCCCCAAGCATAACGCTTTGAATTCAGGACATAAAGTGAATTTCTTTGCAGTTTTTTTTTTTTTTGCAGTTTTACTTTAGTGCCTTATTGCAAACAGGATTCATGTTTTGGAATATTTTTATTCTGTACAGGCTTCCTTCTTTTCACTGTCATTTACGTTATTATTGTGGAGTAACTACAATGTTGTTGATCCATCCTCAGTTTTCTCCTATCACAGCCAATAAACTCTGTAACTGTTTTAAAGTCACCATTGGGCTCATGGTGAAATCCATGAGTGGTTTCCTTCCTCTCTGGCAACAGGGTTAGGAAGGACGCCTGTATCTTTGTAGTGACTGTGTGTATTGAAACACCATCCAAAGTGTAATTTAATAACTTCACCATGCTCAAATGTCTGCTTCAAACAGATTAAATGTCTGCTTTTTATTTTTACCCATCATCCAATAGATGCCCTTCTTTGTGAGGCATTGGAAAACCTCCCTGGTCTTTGTGGTTGAATCTGTGTGAAATTCACTGCTCGACTGAGGGACCTTACAATTATCTGTATGTGTGGGGTACAGAGATGAGGTAGTGTTTAACATGATTTTTTCCCCTAACTATTATTGCACACGGAGTGAGTCCATGCAACTTATTATGTGACTTGTTGAGCAAATGTCTACTCCTGAATTTAATTAGGCTTGCCATAACAAAGGGGTTGAATACTTATTGACTCAAGACATTTCGTCTTTTTATTTTTAATTAATTTCTAAAAACTGAATTCCACTTTGACGTTATGGGTACTGTGTAGGCCAGTGACACAACATCTCAATTTAATCCATTTTAAATTCAGGCTGTAACACAACAAAACGTGGCAAAAATGTAAGGGTGTGATTACGGTCTGAAGGCACTGTACATATGTACCGCATTTACATTAAGCAGACACTGTTATCCAGAGCAACTTGCATACTTTCTTCATACTGGTCCCCCGTGGGATTTGAACCCATTACCTTTGTGTTGCAAGCGCCAAGCTCTACAGGGGACCAGCACACAAGCTAGTTACTGGTACGCCAGGTATATAGCCAAGTTACTCATTGTGTACTTATTATTACTTTTTTTCTTATGCTGTATTACTTTTCTATTATTTCTCTATTTTCTTTCTCTTTGCATTTCACTGTTAATCTACACCTGTTGTTTACGAAGCATTTGACCAATAAAATATGATTTGATTTAAGGAAGTCATTTTGACATAAAGAATATCTTCTGATGGTCAAGGGGATGTTCCAAATGAGACTTGTTTCTTATTGTAATCACTGTGTATTTCTTTTTTTCAATTGTCACAATCTAACATGAACAAAGGATCAACAAAAAATTGCCAGGGATTTTCAAATATTTCTAATCATGTTGACTATTTCTGATTATTGTCTTCAAATAAACTTTAGCTTATCTGTCTCCTGTTATGATAACGTGTGCTGTTATTGTTTTATTCATAATACATATTTTGCTGTATAAACATGATCAAATATTATTCAAATATTTACTTTGAACAGCATTGGTTGGTTTGTAATTAGTTCAATATTGTGGCAGCTGAGAGCGAGGTGTAGGGAGGAATGGGTGCTGGATGGGGGTGTGTTCAAGCCGACAGTTTAAAATCCTACAGAAATGCGCACGGCGCTTTGGTTTGAAGAGAATACGCCATATTGAATCACCGTAGGCTTCTGCTAGCCGTTTTCAGTTAGCGGTTTGAAAAGGACCTGGACTACTCTCTCAATGGTCCTCATTCGGTTTGGCGTTAGCACTTCTCTCTGTCTTTGTAACCCGGTTTACTAGCTCATTTATTTTGTCCGGGCAGTCGTATTTTTAACGGGTACATTAACTTGCTTGAAGTGGGTTCAGAAAAAATAAATTGAATGGATCCGAGGGTGGCTTGGATTCAGCCCGAGCAGAAAGGACCTGCGAACGCATTTTGGATGCAAGTGTGGGAGACTTCTCAGGTACGAGCGAACTCCGGCCAGCATCTTCGTAATAATCAGAACCACAACCTGCATGTGAATTCTCCAGCGTTGGACGTTTATAAAGATGTTGCGGCAAAGGGCAATAGCATGTGTAGCACTAACACCACGGCTGGTCTGAGCAGCAGCCATCACGGTATTTCAAACTGCACTACTTCTAACCACGGCACTGCATTCTCCTCCTTCGGGGTAACGTTACCGAACGGCAGCGTACAGAACTCATTGACCCCGTCCAACGCTAACGGTGTAACTACAGATTTGGGAGACAGTAAAATGCCCCAAAAGACGGGATCTATTTCGTCCTTGTCTTCAGTGGAATCTATAACGGACAGTACATCTTCAAACGGCTCATTGGGAAGGATTAGTGGTGGTAATGTAACGGGAAATATGAATAAAAACGCTGGAGGTGTCAATCTGTTATTTAACTTCAGTGAAAGCATGCCCAATAATGTAAACCAATACCACCACCATCAAAGGCACCATCAGGATCACCCTCAGTACAATTTCCAACAGAATTGTGAGAAGCGTCACCCGACTCACCCGCCTGCACCCCTAAATAACCACGCTCACCATCCAGGCCGAAGGAAAAGTGACAACAAGGCGAGCACCTATGGGATGAATTACCTGCTTTCTAACTATGGCAACTATGTTAGTTCGGGGACTGGGACGCCTTGGAAGACCAGGAAATACAGCCCCGGTGTTGATGGGTGAGATTATTTTTGATAAGGCCATTGCCCCCACTGGAATTGTTTGACGCCAACGTTAGCTTGCTAATGGTAGCTTGCTAATGTTATCCGCGATACCTATCATGGTTTCCTTTCCTACTAGCTAGACACTTATTTATTGTAAAAATGGTCATGCCTGAAGTCAATCCGTTATCGTGTCGTTTTGGTGGTTGCATGTTGATGTTTTATCTTTTTCAAATTGATTTGCTGCACGGGTGATTAGTAATGCGAATGTTATCTTAAATAGCTAGCTACTTAGCTAACTACATCGCTAATTTGACTGCGCTCTGCAGACTAACCGGATTTGACTTGTTAAGCAGCTATAGCTAGCTATCTAGATAAGAGTTTGGTAAGGTTAGCTTGCTAACTGATAGTTAGCTAACAGCTAGCAAGCTATTTGACAGATCTGAAGGGTTGGGTAACTTCTGGAATGTAGGGTTAATGCCGCATTCATGTCATGTCGGAAACTCGGACATTTTCTGACATGTTTACTCGTATACGAAAGCCGTGTTTCCTACTTGGAAGTATCAGAATCAAGCAATAGGAAGCTATACGCAAGTAATTAGGGTCATTTTAACTCCGAGGTCCCGAGTGTCTGACATGACGTGAACGCGGCATGTATCGCAAAATTATGAAAGGGGTCATGATTAGCTATTTATCTTTATACAGCCACTCAGGGGATTATTAACGTCTGACTCGTTATTCAGCTATAGTTCATTAACTTTCTAGTTTATTACATTCCCTAATATTGTTGATTAGACTAACGTTATACATGTAAAAATTGGCTGCAACAAAAAACTGCCAGGTGACTGTTTAAGATTCTCTCTGGTCTCCATGGACAGTTGTAAGATCCATAGGTTTCGTTTGAATTGAACTGTGCAGTACAATGATTGGCCCTAGTGGCACCCTGGTGGCATTGAAAGCATGTAGGCTAATGTACCGATTGTAATACCTGGTTGTGCTACATTTCAGTGTATGGCTGCACTCAATAATTTTGGTGTGAAAAATGTTAACATCAGTGCATACCATTTTTGTATAGGTCTGTGATCAGTATGGGAATTGAAACCACAACCTTGGCGTCGCTAATCCCATGCGCTTACAGGACCATGTTGTGATTTTATTGAATGTTGAGGGATGCTGAGCTTACTTGAAAGCCTGTATCAATGTATGCTTTATATATTTTTTTTAAATCTCTGCTTCCATGATGGTCTAGGCTTTCTTTGAAAATACCTACCATGTAGGTGAACTGATGACATTTAAATTCATGAAATCCTGAAACAGAAAATGTAAATCGACCAATTATTTGACTTGTTTAGTTTCAGGGTGAGCAACTGCGTGTGTGTTGTTAACCCTCTCCTCGTCCCCCCAGTCTCCATGAGGAGGTGGTGGACTTCTACAACTTCATGTCTCCCCGACCGGAGGAGGCTGCTATGAGGAAGGAGGTGGTCGACAGGATCGAGACGGTCATCAAGGAGCTGTGGCCTACTGCCGACGTGAGCACACACACCAGAGCTGGGCGTTGAACCGGCACATCACACATTTTAGGCATTTGTCTAAAAATATTTGTACAGTATAGGTTTTTTTGAACTCTTTCATTCCCCCGCTCTCTCCAGGTGCAGATATTTGGCAGCTTCAGCACTGGACTCTACCTACCTACAAGGTAAGAGGGCAGCCTTGTGTGATGTTTTGGCTCAGTCTTGTTCTCAGAATTTGCCACAAGTGCTTGGCCACCAGTTGACTTAACACCATCTCTCGCTGTTGCCATAGTGACATAGACCTGGTGGTGTTTGGTAAGTGGGAACGGCCCCCGTTGCAGCAGTTGGAACAGGCACTTCGGAAACACAACGTGGCGGAACCTTTCTCCATCAAAGTGCTGGACAAAGCTACAGTGAGTTGGTGCTCTAAAAAATAAAATAATAATATGCTTACATACGATCTGTCGGAATAACTCCAATGTTGTCCGAACTGATAAACAAGGAGATGATTTGCTTTAATTTGTTACATTTTAGTCATTTAGCAGACGCTCTTATCCAGAGCGACTTACAGGAGCAATTAGGGTTACGTGCCTAGCTCAAGGGCACATCGACAGATTTTTCACCTAGTCGGCTCGGGTATTAGAACCAGCGACCTTTCGGTTACTGGCACAACGCTCTTAACCACTAAGCTACCGCCGCCTAATAATGTAGGACAAGTGTGCACGAACTAATGATTGGGCCTAATTAGTGACTGCTTTAGAATTGAGAGAGGGAACGAAAGAGCGATGGACGTGAAATAAACTTTATACTTCTGAAATGAAGTCACAATGTTTCTCTATTCTCTCTCCAAGGTGCCAATCATTAAGCTGAGTGACCAGGAGACTGACGTCAAAGTAGATATCAGCTTCAATGTGGAGACTGGAGTCAAAGCTGCTTTCTTTATCAAGGACTACACTAGGGTGAGAACACTAGCATTTGTAGTTTTTATTTTTGCTTTATTTTTCCAGGTTGTCGTATTGAGGTCAAAATACATTTTTTCCCCCAATGGGAGACCTGAATGGCTATAATGATCAGAGCAACAATTTAAAAAATGTTCCCAGTTGTAGGGTACAAAAACTGGCCTATGAAAGGAATGGAAATTGACTTCCTGCCCACTGACACTCCCATATTGTAATTTGTTTTGGTTAAACTTGAGGCTAATGAAATACTTACTGAACTACTGTCCCTGTGAAATGCATTTACTATCACTGTAGCAACAGAAGCACTACTTAACCGCTTCACAATTACATTCCACACCATATGTATTAAAATGTTGCTCTATACTCCAGCATTTTGGATTTAAGATAGAATGTTTCATATCAGGTGAGAATACACAAATGTACACCTGCACAGTGGGGCTGTGACGATATGGTCATTGTAGTTAATTATCACGTTTCTGCGCTCAACTAGGCTGAATATTTGCTTAATGAAAACTACAACTCCCTTCAGGCCAGCATTCCACTCTCATCAATTATTTGATTTCTCTCTAGAGAAACGGCACGTTGGGCTCACAAAAAAACCTAACTAAATGGAATTCAAGTAATTGAACTGACGTCGGTCAATTACAAGTTTAAGAACCGATAATAAAAAAAAAACGACATGTCGGTTCATCGCTCAGCACTACTTTCCATGATACTAACGAGTATTGCACAGTGGGTCAGAGTGGTGCAGAGTATGTGAGCGGAGCGTGCCTAATTTGACTGGAGCACGGAGTGAGTTTCCCAAAGGCTGGAGCATCAGCCTTCTCACCCGCTCCAATTTCACTCCAGTAGTGCTCCAAGTAGTGCTCACTTCACGAGCTCAGGGCATGCCCGGCCCAGCATACATTTGTAGTCTACTTATGTTCTGCTATAGCCCCTTGCTTTAGCTACTGTCATGGAGTTCACTACATATTTTCATAAATAAACTAATAAAACACAGGTGCAAAATCACAGTGACTTACAAAGAGGAGGACCAAGAGCAATACATTTACATTACATTTTAGTCATTTAGCAGACGCTCTTATCCAGAGCGACTTACAGGAGCAATTAGGGTTAAGTGCCTTGCTCAAGGGCACATTAACGTCATCTAGCAGACGCTCTTAGCCAGAGCGACTCACAAATTGGTGCGTTCACCCTAAAGCCAGTGGGATAACCACTTTACACATTTTTTTTTGGGGGGGGTGATTTTTGTTGGGGGGGGTATCCACAACTAAAGAATTGTGGAACCTGAAAATACACATATCCCGAAAGCATGATGGTGTACTTACTATGTGCACATGCTAACAGAAAGGAACGAGGTGTGTCATTGTAGCAAAGTATTTATAAACAAAAAATCTGATCTCTTAAAAGTTAGTTCAGTTTTGTTCTATTATCTATACAATAAATGATTTTGGGCTAATAGGCCTGGCATATTACCTCTTTAAAGGAGCTTTCAGTTTTGATAGGGTTATTTAGCCTAAAAACATGTACATTTTAGTCAATTAGCAGACGCTCTTATCCAGAGTGACTTAGTTAGTGCATTCATCTTAAGATACTGTAGCTAGGTGGGACAACCACATATCCCAGTCAAAGAAAGTACATTTTTCTGCAAGCGACCTGAGGTGGCAGAACGGCGTGCTCGGGTTGGGATGTAGGGTTCAAATATATCCTGAAGGTAGGGAGGGGCAGTTCCTCTTGCCGTTCCGTAGGTAAGCACCATGGTCTTGTAGTGGATGTGAGCTTCGACTGGAACCCAGTGGAGTGTGCGGAGGAGCAGGGTGACGTGAGAACTTGGGAAGGTTGAAAACCAGGCAGGCTGCAGCGTTCTGGATAAGTGGCAGCCAACAGAGAGTTGCAGTAGTCCAGACACGAGAGGACAAGTACCTGGAGTAGGACCTGCACCGCTTCCTGTGTGATGTAGGGTCGTACTCTACGGATGTTGTAGAGCATGAACCTGCAGAAGCGAGTCACTGCTTAGATTTTTGCAGAGAAGGACAGGGTGTTGTCCAGGGTCACGCCAAGGTTCTTTGCACTCTGGGAGGGTGACACTGGAGTTGTCAACAGTGATGGGGAGGTCTTTGAGCGAGCAGGCCTTCCCCGGGAGCAAGAGCAGCTCCGTCTTATTGAGGTTTAGGCCTACCTATAGAAAAAACAACTCTGCATCCCAGCCCAGCCTCCTGGCAAGAGTGGCCAAAAGGGGTTAAGCATCCCCAATGGCTCTGCAAGCACAGAGAGGATATTCTCGGCTGCTGGCCTGCTCTTCAGGCACCGTCGCATGAGCCTGAAGCCACACTCTGGCCAAACTGGTGTTTCTAGAAATTAATTCAAAGGCAGTGAGCCTAATAAGGCATTTTTCTTTTAATTTGTATTTAATTCTAAGTTACAGCCTATATGGGCAATTTATAGACTATGATGATGTAATAAAATGAAATGTTTAAATGCTGAGCACTTAATGTCACTGCCAGCCTAGTGTCGCACTTGCAAATGCTTCAATGTATTTATTTGTAGGCTATAGCCTTGAAATAATATAAAGCTACCTGTCTGGCTCCTGACCTATTTAGATAGTTTATATGGTGTTTAATATGACATGCAGCCTATTTGAAATGATGAGCGCTTCTTGGTCACCTTTTCATTCAAATCAAATGGTTTGGTTTCAATATGTCAAAACCAAATGGTAGGTCCAGGTATTCACAGAAATAGATGGGTGTTGGTTAAATTGTGATGTGAATGGAGTGAATTTGGAGTGGCAGTTTTTTCCTGTGAGCGCGGAGCGGTTGGAAAGGACGTGGAGCGGTGCGTGAGCGCTGCTCTGAGAGACGAGTGGGATTTCAGGCCAGGGTTTTCCTTCTCAAATGAACTGTGCTTTTACTTGTCTAGCCAATCCTATTAGATCTGCAGTAGGGGTTAGGGGGAGATCTGGTGATGGGCGTATAATATACTGTCAGTAAAGGAATGCCTCTGTGACATAACTGAATTCAATGACATAGCAGAACATGCTTCTGGCACCAGAAGCATAACTTTGGAATGAGTCATTGTCCCACTGACCTTTTACAACTGTAGCCCCAAAATCAGCATATGATATAACATGACAACCTGTGAAAATGAGAAGACTAATTTTATTTCAAGTTGTGATCCCCATACTAAATTACATATTTTCATTAAATGGAGACTTTTCCCTCGTCTAATTTAAAATAATCCCATTAAAAAAAAATCTGTTATCTGTTCCTCAATGACTGTGTAAATTAAGCAGGAATTTGATTATTTCCTTATTGTTTTTTTATCTCCCTCTCCTTTCTTTCCCTCTCACCCTACAGAGGTATCCCGTGCTGCCTTACCTGATCTTTGTGCTGAAGCAGTTTCTGCTCCAGAGAGATCTCAACGAGGTGTTCACCGGAGGAATCAGCTCTTACAGCCTCATCCTGATGGTCATCAGCTTCCTCCAGGTACACACGCACGCTTTGCGTAATCTAGTATGACATAGGGCTGGGCGGTATACCGTATTTGACAATATACTGGTATTGATGCACGGACCGGTTTGGGTTTTTACTTTACCTTCTATAACGATATTTGAATGTATGGTTTGTTAAATGTGATACTTCACTACTTGAGTCAATGCTCTCTCTCTCATGCCACTTTCCACACAGACCTAGCCCCGCCCCCTGTCACTCAAGGAGCGCATTTGTTGTTCCTCGACCACGAGACACTTGCGTTCAGTCTGCATGGTCAATGCAGCTCATGCAACAATGTTGACGTCAACGATGCTGTTTTCACATTTCTTCTTAATATAAATCCACTAGCGATCTATAATTACACTATTAGTTTGTGTTTCTTACATCTGCAAACAGTAAGTTTGTCTTTTCGTAGCAAGTTGGGCCTAAATCTTGTTAGCCGCTAATCGCTAGCTAGCTAATAAATGTACTGAGTCAGAGCAAACATAATTAGCTATACAGTCTGATAATACCAGTGATGGTGTAGACCTAAATCAGCATGTTTGTGCAACAGTATCTTCTAAATCAAAGAGGAATACACTAAGCATGAATATGTTAGCTACATTAAGTAGTTAAGAGGAAACATTCAATGTAGCCAAACATTATAGGGTGCCCTAGGAAACACTTATCAACACTTTGGTTCCTACCCTGTCACAATAACTCCTCCTTGGCATTTTCATTCGTTGTCATGTCAAACAACACTCATATTTAAAATGCCCACTATTATTTCTACCTATAGAATTAGAATAATCATTCTATTACTATTATATTCTAACTATAGAATTAAAATAATCATTCTATTTTGATGATTCCAACAGTTCACCCAAGTTTTTTGCTCTAAATCGCTATTCAAATCGCAAAGACCTAGATTGTTTGCCCATATCGTGCAGCCATATGTGGCAGTGTGGAAATTATCTAAAATGAGTTCAGAAATTGATGAAAATAAATACTTTTTTGTTGAATTGAACAGTGTAAAACAATCAGAATGGAGAAAGACTAATTTGAATTCACTTAGAATGTGTGTTGCCACCCTAGGGTCACGCACTAGTCATAAAGCAAATTTACAACTTTGTATTATTCAAAAACATAAAATACCATCATTTAAAAAAAATGTATGATATGATATTTTGTCCGTATCGCCTAACCCTAGTATGACAGTGTACAATTACGGCACTTAGTGCTGTCCTAACACCTATGCCTATTCTCTCCCTCCTTCCTTCCCTCCCTCCGTCTCTCTCCATCCAGCTCCACCCAAGGATTGACGCCAGTAATCCCAACATCAACCTTGGCATTCTGCTGATTGAGTTCTTTGAGCTTTATGGACGTCATTTTAACTACCTGAAGACGGGCATCCGGGTCAAGAATGGCGGGGCCTACATGGCCAAGGAGGACATGATGAAGGTTATGACCAACGGCTGCAGACCCTCCATGCTCTGTATAGAGGACCCACTGATGCCAGGTGGGGGTTGTGTGAGTGAGTGAGTGAGTGCGTGTGCGTGTGTGCTGGACTGAGTGTTTGAGCGACTGACTGAGTGTCTGTGGTTTTCCCATTAGTAATGGTGTTGGCTGTAGTTTGTATGGGCCGATTCAGGTTTTTTTACCCGCGTCTGTGTGTTCCAGGTAACGACGTTGGCAGGAGTTCGTATGGAGCCATGCAAGTCCAGCAGGTTTTTGACTACGCTTACATCGTCCTCGGTCACGCCATGTCACCACTAGCACGCTGCTACCCCAACAAGGACATTGACAGGTTGGTTCCCCCCTCCCTCTTTCAGAATGTCTTCTGGATCCATCCGGCCTAGAAATATTTGTACATGAATAGGTTCAACAGTTATCAAAGTAAAGATTGTCAAATTAATATGGTGGTTGTGTTGGGAAGTGTAACTGATCCACTGCTGTGCAACAGTTAAACCGTCCCCCTCATGTTTCTCACTATCCCTGCAGCACTTTGGGGAGGATAATCAAGGTGACACAGGAAGTGATTGACTACAGGGAGTGGATCATGACGAAGTGGGGGGGCAGGCACCTCGCCCGCATGGAGAGCCGGGGTAAGAGCAGTGTGTGAAACATCTGTGTTAAATCTTGACTGTCTTGTATGGCAGGTACTGTGTGTGTGAAGGGTAGTCTTTGTCTTATATGGCAGTTTGGTAAGTGTGTGTTGCTCTGTGTATAATAACCTATGTTTTTCTGTAGGTTCCCTCCTGGATCAGGACCCAGCAGGGTGTGTGTTGGGTGTAGGGGTGGAGGAACAGAGGGACTCTGTCTCCCCTCACAGTGCAGACTCTCCCATGTCCCTGTCCAGTCCTCACCAACACTCCTCAGCCTCCTCTGTCTCCTCGCTGTCCGGGTCAGACAATGTAAGGGCAGGGCACACACACACACACTGCAGTCTTTATGATGAATTCTATAAATGCAATTGTATTAATTGATTGACAGCTGGCCATGTATTAACCCCTCCACTTTGCTGTTTGTTCTAGGACTCTGATTCGACGTCCCCGGCGCTGCCTCTCTACCCCCTTCAGGCTTTGGGTATGACTCTACCCCTGGGCCTGGCACTGGGCAAGCCTGGCATCAACCAGCACCACCTCATCATGACCCCTGGCTCACAGGTACAGAACCTTGCACCTGCTGACCTTTGTGTGTTTTCAGAGATGGGAGAGTTTAACCTGATCAAGATTTTCTGGGAGTGGGAGATTAAAGGTAGACTCCGCAATGCACGAAGTGAACACAATATCGGGCTTATTTCCACAACTAAGAGCGTTGAAGCGCGAGGCTAAACTTCTCCGCTGTTTTGGTCCCGTAGCTACCACGTTGTACCAGGGTGAAGCGCATCCGTGCATATCCACAGATACCATGACTGTGTTTACACAGGCAGCCCAATTCTGATCTTTTTTCCACTAATTGGTCTTTTGATCAATCACATCCGGTGTTTTCACATCATATCATTTTCAGAGCTGGTTGGATTGGTCAAAATACCAATTAGTGAAAAAAGATCAGAATTGGGCTGCATGTGTAAACACAGCCTAAGTGTGAGAGTAAAGTCTTGCATCGTGCTCATCTTATCTGCGGTGCTGCTCATGCCAACGTCATAACTCCAAGTCTACCTTTAAATGTATTTTTTAAAATCCTGAATTGAGCTCCGTCTTATCATTAAGATTTGTCGCTAGAGAGAAAGTATTTATGTTTTCTATAAAATAGTCTATCCAGGCCCTCTGTTTTAGTACTCACATCCCACTAACAGGGATTGTGAAATGGTGAGGTTACACTGTTTGTGATTGGATGTGTGAGAACTGAAAATGTCTATCTCCCTCCCCTCGCCCCTCTCTCCAGGCGTGTATGTCTTTGCCCGGTGGCCTGACGATGCACTCTTTACCTGGCAGACAGGTGGGTATAGACGGGCACCACCTCCCCCCCTTTTTCCCCATGCCCCCCCCTACCCACCATAACCCCCATGCCCCCTCCAACCCCCAGCCTCTGTCCAGCCCCCACCCTGCCAGCCACACACACCAGGTAGGCGCCGGCCGCAATCACGGCTGCACACACTATACATGGAGAACCTCTCTCTCCTGTCTTTCTTTCCTCTGCAAGACTCTCCTCACCTCTCACTTTCTCCTTTCTGCTTTCCAACTCCTCTTGCTTTCCTGTTTCTCTCCTCTCCTTCACTTCCTCTCCATTCTCTCAATCTGTCCCTCTTGATTTCACAATTTCATTGTTGTATTGTATATCTGCCAGATTGAACTGAATATAGCATTCCTTTCGTAGAGCACTCAGGTTTCTAACATGTCAACCCTTCTTTCTCTCTCTCCAGAACGGTCCCAAGTTTCAGATGAAAGGCTTCCACAATCCATCCGTGGTCCACAGTCCCGCCCTGGCCAACCGTGCACACGCACACCCTCTCACACACTCTCATACGCAGTACCGTAACACCTGGCGGCGTCGGAAGAGGGACAGCCTACCAGTCAGCCTGAGCAGATAAAAGACTAAACTTCCTCCTCTATCCCTCTCTCCACTCCTCCATTCTGACTGATTGGGAGGACAACTTGACGAGACAATGCCCCCTGCTGTTCAACTTAAAGAAGGACAGGCAGACAGACTCCAAGACCAGCATTGGGATTCATTCAACACTTTGGGCTGCTGAACTTGGGCTGTGGACAGGGAAAAAAAGCTTAGCTCTGTGAAAACGCTCCCTTTCTCTCCCTTCCTCCATCGCTCTTCCTCTCTTAATCTCTGCATGTTTTTCACTGCGCAATGAACCAACGGCCAATGATACAGGAATGAGTGGTGCGGCTAGCGAACGAAATGCAGCCCAGCCCAACATGCACTCTGACCCCAGAACTTTTCCGCTAGCTCTCCAGTCCTTCACTTCCTGTTTGTTTTCTATCTTTCCGTTAATGTGTCTTATTGTTCATTTTGAATATAATTATTTTTGCGCTTTGCCATTTTTCACTTAGGTTTGGTGAGACTGATTATAGTGACATCTTTGCCAGGTGGGAGTAGCGAAAGCCCAGTCTCTTATGGGAAAGTGTTTATTCTTGTTTGGTTTTTGACTGGGTTGCGTTGTCAAGGCGACAACCTTTGTCCTTGAACCCTGCAGCCAAACTGCGTCTTTTTTAGTGTTCACACAAGGAACGGACGGTTTCTCATTTGTGCAATAACGCGTTCTGTTTTGTTTTTTAAAAGTAAATGTTTATTTAATTTTATTATGCGTGTATGTATGTAAAGGCGTTTGGTGTTTTTTTTAAAGATTTGTTTTATTTTTGTATTTTTGGGGGGCTGAGTTTATAGAACCTTTCCCCAGGTGGCCTCTGCTTTGGAGTGTGTGACGAGAGGACAAGCGTATATTCAGTTGGTGAGCTGTGCGAGTCTTGTTGGAGTGTCGAGGTATAATCTACCCCCCCCCCCCCCAATTGGGTGTTTTATAATGTGAGTCAAAGGGGAGAATCAGAAGTATCTAAGTGACCAGACTATTGAGATGAATCTTCTTATAGTTTGACAGGTTAAAAAGTCTGCAGTCTCACATTGTCTCACTAGATGGAGCTCTTGCTATAGCAGACGCAGCAGACTGACTGAGCTCTCTCACGCCCAATACCCTAGCTGTTGTTTTTAAAAACCTTTCTCTTTATTTGGTGTGTGTGTGTGTACTTGTATCAGTCATAGGATGACTTACATTCACCCAACGTTTGTGCCATTTTCGCTACTCAGTCCTCGCTTAGACTAGGACTGAAAACTTCCCCATTGCAGGAGTTTGGCACAAGCCCAAGTACGTATTGTATGCCCCAAGTGTGTTTCTGTTGGATGTATGTCTGTCATTTTCTAAAGATGTGCATGGTCTAGTGCGTATGGGAGGTGGCGTTAGATGAAGGGACAGACAAACTGACCTGAACTTGAAGATCAGTGAGAGGTGCGAAATGGAACCCTATCGCTGACATCGTGCACTACTTTTGATTGGGCCAGTGGGATCTGGTTTAAAGTAGTGCACTACATAGGGGATAGGGTACCATTTCAGATGCACCCTAAAATACTAGGTGCTCTAAAGGGTCTTGCCACGTAGCGGGGGGAGAGGGAGGGAGAATGTTCTGGGGCCTTCCGGAACAGTGGAAAGGGAATAATTTTGATTCCATTCTGGAATCTTGTGTAGGTACTTCCGCTAGTTTGCAATGCCTTTTCTTTGTGTTTACTTCAGTGTGTGTGTGTGTGTGTGTGTCGTCTCTGCAGGCATACAGCCGCATACACACACACACAAGAGACTGTGTGTGACTGAGGCTCCGAACGGTAGCTAAACATACAGCGTTATTACTATGCAAGTGGGTTATTTCTGTGTGCCCCATTATTTCTGTTTCCAATGACAACCACTGCTTATTGGCTTGAAGTGATGTTATTGTAAACTCGAGTTTGAACGACTAGGCCTTTGTGATCGGTGGGCTAGGCTAGATGGTCGCTAGCCTCAGCCCAGTTACAAGTGAACCACAAAACTCTGCATTTGTATGCAAGTCCTGATGTTTTCAAAGTCTCTAGTTTTGTATTTCTATCTGTCAGAAAGTCTATGGAAGGGGATGTGTGTGTGCCAGTGGTCGGGTATCTGTCTTGTCTGGGAGCGAGGGAATAGCAAGACTGGTTGTTTCAAATGACACCCTATTCTCTCTCATATAGTGCATGCTATTTAACCTTAGTGCTGGTCTAAAGTAGTGCCCTAATATAGGGGTTAGGGTATCATTTGAGACGACCTCTTGACGTCCCACCACTATTTTAACCTAACACCTACGGCTAGTATAAAAGTGCACGTGGGGAGCGACTTGCACTCTGTAGTGGACGACTTCATACCCTCCCTAGTGCACTACAGTCCTCTACCCTCACTGAGATTGTGTTAGGAGCCAATGTCACTCTGTAATGTTAGTATAGCAACTTTTACCCACCAATCGACCTGGCTAATATACCGCCTTTATTACAGGGTTGTCGGTCTCAAATGGCACCCTATTCTAAATGTAGTGCACTACTTTTGATTAGATCTTTGGTTTCTTGTGGAGGGTAGTGGGGCTATATAGGAAATAGTGTGCCATTTGGGACTTAACCTGTGTCTGCTTTTAGTGAATAGAACCAGCATCTGTCAGAGAAGAGCGCTAAAACACTATCTCTGGTTGGAGATTTGTCGAACCTGTCAAAGTTGTCCACAATTTTTACAGATTCTATTAAGACTGAAATGCAGTGTGACGTCTTTGGATTTAACTTGAATCCCAATGTTCTACACAAGCTTCCTCTCCTCATCTCCTTTCCTTTATTTGATCTGAAAGAAATTGGAACAGGTGAAAGCCAATCCCTTGGTAGATCCATCATTTTGTTTTCATCTATTTAGATCAGTGCAGATCAGAGAGATGTGGAGAGGAAGCCTCTTTAGACTATTGAGAACAAGAAACACTTGCATCACAATGAGGGATTTTAAACTTAACGGACGCCATTTTGTGAAAGGTGGCGGCTCCTCTGTCCTGGCCAACTAATCTGAGCAGGAACTCCTAAAATGGCCGCCAAACTAGCAGTGGTCATGGAGTGACAGCCTGGCTTTTGATTTGAACATTTTTATGTACCGGTATATTTTTTTCTATTTTATTTTTTAATAAAAATCTTAAAACTGGCAGTTGTTATCATAGTGATCTTGTTTTTGTATGTGCCTAATTTGGTTGCATCTTGTAAAATTAATCGGTGGATACAACACATGCACACAAACTGTAAACACAGTGGTTGGAAATTTTAATGCTGATATTGTACGTACAACTCAATGTAAAGAGTCCAATTTGAGCTGTTTTGTCAGGAGTCCCTTCTACAAGACATGGAAAGGAAAAGGTGATTATAAAGTTAGTTCAAATGTACTTCTGCTCATCTACACTAGGTGGCACAGTAGCTGCTCACCCATAGCCTTGGATCCAGTTAGCAACATGGCAGATGTACTGTAGATGTTCTGCCAAACTATTCCTCAAGAGTATTGAGCCAGGATCACCCTGTTGCTAGACTACACATCCAGTACAGCAAATTCTCATTCCAGATAGCTCTCCCTAAACTCTCTTGGATTTTGACTATCTGATGTGTGTTAGACTAGTAGGACAGTACACATAATCCTATCTGTGGCAGATTTTAGTCCATTCTGGTTGCCTCCTAGACCAAAGCCAGAAATGTGAGTAGAAGGATGAGATCCCTCTCTCCTCCACACTATCTCCTCATTGTCTCCTCCCTCCTGTACTATCCTCCTTATCCTCTATTCACTCATCCCCCTCTCCTCCAGGGTATCTATACTCTGTTCCCCTACATCTGCTCCAGGCTGATCATGGTGAGTGTTGAGGGCATCAAGGTTCTACTGCAGGGGTATTTAACTCTTACCCTATGAGGTCCGGAGCCTGCTGGTTGTCTGTTCTACCTGATAATGAATTGCAAGCACCTGGTTAAATCAGTCCCTGATTAGAGCGGAACAATTCAAAAATGCAGTGGAACTGGCTTCGAGGTCCAGAGTTGAGTTTGAGGGTTCAACTGACTCAGGAGAACCCGTACCTCAACAAACTGGAAGACGACACCAACAGGCCAAGAAGATAGTCGCTAGTGAAAGTCTACATACCCCAGTCTTCACATTTTGCTCCCTTTAGTTCAAATTAAATCTCAAAAGGGAATAAATCATATTTTTCTTCTGCTGATCTACACAACCTACTCTACATGTTCAAAGTTAAATAAAAATTATAGAAATCTTCCAAATAAATTAAACAGATGTCTTGGTTGCGTATGTCTTCCCACCCCAGAGTTAATACCTGGTGGAAGCACCTTTGGCAGCCGTTACAGCTGTGAATCATTTTGAATAAGAGACTGAAGGAAGTAGAGCGGCTGAGAGGGAGTCAGAGGGAGTTGGAGAATGAGATGCCTCTGTGTTGTAAAGCAGACGGCCTATAAGGGTTTTTCATCTGGATTAGTGTTCAGAGTGGGGGATGACATGAAAGGGAGAAGAGAATCAAAGGCTCTCAGGTAAAACTGAGCACCTCTAGGTAATAACTTCATAGAGAGGGGGATGGAGAGAGAAAGAGAGAAATACATAATAATAGGGAAATAGACACACAATCTGTCATGTTTGTCCTCTCCCCAACAAACACAAGTGTTGTCATATTTCCATCACAAATACGAACACAGTATCTGTCACCTATCCATGCCAAATACACACAGTGAATAGGTCCTTGGGAAAGCTACGTTTTATCACCCATCCAAGACGGATAAATATTGGGTGGCATGACAGTCCTGTGCCAGCCTGCCTGCTGTTCACATATCTGTCTGTCTGTGTGCCCTGCTGTCGGGTGGCACAGCTCCATGTCTGAGTAAAGGGTTGGTTCCAAGTCAATAGTGGGTCAGATGTTGTTGCTGTTTCTATACAGCAGCACAAGGGTAACAAAATTCCAGCAATTTCCCCCAAATTCTGAGGTTTTCCAGAAATCCTGGTTGGAGGATTCCAGA